ATGTACGCCGAAAACAGTTAAAAACTCTGTGTGTCGTTCTGCGGGGAGAAGTTAAATTGAAGTTACATTTATGTCCAGAAGCAAAACAAGGGGGCCATCTCAGCATTTGCTCAAGGATCAGTGAAACTGGACGATAACCTGATCGAGATGGGGGTCATCGACCTAGAAGCTGATCTTTTCATTGGTGATTATTCATCCAAAGATAATCTTTTTCATTGAAATACATGTTAAACAACGTATGTCACTTCACAACACTTATAAAGACACAACTCATTTCATGAGCAAGTGAAACGTAACTCAGACAAATTTCGCCACTCAGCAAAGCTTGCTCCATTGTACCGTGTGGTTGGCTCTAAACTCAAACGGATTATAGAGTGTTTCCAGATCTCTACAGGACATTGAATTAATATATTAATCTGGAAATATTAATGAAAGCAACACGTTACAAGTGCAATGTAAGCAGTACCTTAGTACATGAATGAAATACAACCGCAATCCAAGATTTTAAAACAAAAACGTGATGTGATGTGGGAAAAATAACTTCTGATCGTGATTCAGGTTGCAAAAGTAATTCTAAAAGGCCATTCAAGATGGTGGCAATGAAACCATTGCAGACCAATGTATTTAGAGAAATAAAATTGCCATTTTCTGAATATTTGTATCAGAAATCAGCATTATGCAACAACTTTCATTTTTGTTTTGAAATAAAAATAATAAATTGTAATACAGAGTATGGATATATAATTTGCATTGTAATTATAATTAATAATATTAATATAAATAATATTTATATTGTTATCTTAAAACACATTTATAAAGTTATACTTTGTATTAATTATATCTGAATCAATAAATAATCTCAATTTTATTTTTCAGTATCAAGTCATGCAAGATATTTGAAAAAGAAGTAAAACTGGAACCCAACGAAGAATTTATTCTAGTCAGGTGTACCGATGGAAACATTTCTAATCGCTACCCAAATATCTATGAAAAGAAAAGAACGAAAGTGTATGTAAATATGCATGGAATAGTTCCTATAAAACCTATTGTTGCTGAAGAGAGAAGAAAAAGGAAGTCTCCTGACGATGACGCCTGGTTTAATGTACTTATAGTAGGGTATGATGCCGTATCTCGCCTGAATCTTTTGAGGACAATGCCAAAAACTGTTGCTTACCTGAAGCGTGTTGGTTTTATAGGTTTGCAAGGTTTCAATAAAATTGGAGATAATAAATTTCCAAATATGATGGCTTTTTTAACAGGCATGACTACTCAGCAGGTGATGAATGAGTGCTGGCCCTCCCGCAAGAGTAAATTTGATGATTGCCCTTTCCTTTGGAAAGATTTTCAAAACTGCAGCTATGTGTCGGCTTATGCTGAAGATACGCCAGATCACGTTGCATTCAATTTTGGGACAAACGAGGCAGGTTTTTTGAAACAACCTACAGATTATTACTTTCGACCTTACGTCCTTGCTGCAAAGAAGAAACTTAAGGGAAAAAAAAGATCTGGTATGAGTGTGTGTCTGGGGCCAATTTCAACAACAGGACATATGTTCATTTATGGTTTACATTTTGTGAAAACTTTCAAAAATTATTTTTATTTCGCTTTGTTCTGGCTGAATAATTTTAGCTATAATGATTTGAATACTCCACGCGCCATGGACGCGAGAACGCTTCAATTTTTCGAAAAGTTAGGTGATTCTGGCACGTACAGCAACACTATAGTTGTATTTCTTAGTGACCATGGAATTCTTTCTGGAGCGATACGCGAAACACATGTAGGTTGGTTTGAAGAAAGATGGCCATTTGTTTATATTTTTCTTCCAGATTTGTTTAAAAAGAAATATCCCGAAGCTTATCAAAATCTACAAAGAAATAGAAATCGACTAACTTCGCCCTTTGACCTGTATGTTACTTTGAAAGATGTGTTAGCCAGAGGGATGAACTCCACCGTTCCAAGTGTAAATGTATCACTTGGATGTCCTAATTGCAAGAGTTTGTTTTCAGAGGATGTTGGTGATAGATCTTGTGATGATGCTGGGATATCCCCTGAGTGGTGTACATGTACTCAATACACCTACTACAGTATATCAGTAAATGATATTGTTGTGAAAAATGCTGCGAAGTATGCTTTATCTCAAATACAAAATAAAATTAGAAGTTCCTTGGAGTCAAACGGCTGTGCAGAGCTTCTTATGCATCGAGTATTCAAAGCAAAAAAGAAGATGGGGAAAAAAAGGAATGTTCATTATTATGTTGTGATGTTTGAGACATTACCAGGAGGAGGGCGTTTCGAGGCCACAGTCAAACATTTTTATGGCAGTACCTTTTCTCTTTTGGGAATGGTAAGCAGGTTAAACGCATATGGTAATGATAGTTTCTGTGTGAAAGATAGACTTTTAAAATTGTACTGCTTTTGTCTTCAATGATGACAAGTTTTCATGTCAAAATAAATTTGCATACACGTTTTTAAATGTGCGTCTTTCAGCACCATTTTACTTTGTTTAATAAGTGTACTACGAGTCTCTTCCCAGTTCACTCCGCTCAAAAGCTTCTTGGTGATATTTCATTCAAGATTTTTATGTGAAGTCCATAATGAATTATACCACTTGAACGAATGTGGAAAACTCAAAAGAATCGAAAATTAAAGCTGAAGAACCTCACGTTGCTGGAGTATGTTTTAGTGTGTTTCATCTTTTCCCGCCGTGCCGCGGAGCCTACTTGCATATACTTTATTGTATCCCTGCTCGGTCTTGCCCAACGTCTCTCTGCCTTGCTCACACCTTCTGGAAATACCTTGTCTTCCTCACTTTCTCACAAAAATGTTTATATATTAATTGCGGTTTCTCGCCCCCATAAGTTACTCATTTTATAACTACAAATAATACACAAATCTAAACTAAAAAATAAAATACATGCACTCACATATTATTTTTATGGCTTTTTATATATTACACCCATACTTTCAATGAATTGCCGAACTGTAAAACGTATTCTTTTTCATATTTCTTCTTGTTGCGTTTTTATAGAAAAAAGTTTGAAATAGATCTTTGACCTCACGTCGAGGCAATTGAAATATTAATATAAATGAAGTGCTTTTAATTGAATTCGTGTGCGCTTTTCAGGGTCCTTGATAACTAGTGGCAGTTGCAAAGGTGCCATTAACCACTTAAACAATTATATCTCCAAAAAGCCGGAACCACACAGCACAACCTAGCTTGGCCAAGGTTTTTCTGTAGTCTAAAAAAACTCTTTTGTGGTATTTTCAACAACGTTAAAAACAACTGACACACATTTAAGCCCTTCCATTTCTCGTTGCTCTTTTACTTCTGTTTACCTTCTTCTTGCCGATCTTACTCTCATCAATTTAAATCATTATTCTTTCATCACCCAAAGGGACGATTTCTCCACTATGACAAATCACTTCCTTACAAAAATGCATTCGTCTTAGTTTCTGCTTATCCCATAAATCATTCATAATATGTTTCACTTTCACTTGTGCAACTCGCAAATACGTAAGAGGCTTAATGTACAATTAAATCAATAACTATTAATGTAGAATATGTGTGTACATTCATATCTCTTTACGACAATATCAAACACTTAAGTAAAAAGCTGAATGCATTGATTATATTCAGGGGTCGAGACTGAGGCAGCGCAAATTAAATGTAGGAAAAAAGCATCTCGGTGATGGAAAATCTATTAGAGGTAGGCACAGTCTGACAGATGATGCCATAGACAGATTTCAGACGTATTATGGGCTTTATGTTGGGCGCTATTTGTTTATACGAAGTCAACAGACGCAAAAGTGAGGACAGTTTATGGTGCAAGTACGGATACATTAAATTAAGCAATACATGAGGAATCTATGAGAACAAACACAATATGCCTACAGTAATCATGTAAGAAATAAAACCAGTGTTTAGATTACTTTCAAATGAAACATTGTAGAAATATCTACATGGAAAAATACAAAATTTCTATGAAAGTGTAAATTACGTAATTTGAAGTCGCATTCCCAAAAAGGGGTTTTGTTCAAATTATTACTTTACATTTCGAAGTATATGATGCTGAAGCTGTCTACAATAAAGGACATTTAATAAAGTGTGAAGTTGTGAAGAGGGTAGGACAGAAAACAAAATATTTCAACATTCAATCCATAGCTGCGATAGACTCTGAAAGAATAAGAAATTCTCAAAAGGTACAAAATGCTTATGAGAACAAACTTCAACAGAAGAAAGTGTAAAAAGAGAACTGTTAGATGAGATTGAAGTCCCTGACAATCCATCATCTGCTGCTAGGATGTTCTAAACAGGTTACAGATTTAAAAACCTTCGTTTCTCAACTTTACATTTTTTAAATTAAAAGTAGAATTTTCTTTAAAAGTATAATACATAGATATAATTTTCACAAGCTGTTGTAATATACATGTTAACTATTTTAAAATGTTTGAGATGCATTTCATGTCACAGAAAAAATGTTATGAGATAGTGTGTGTTTTTTGTTTAATATTAGTATTCAAATAAAAAATTACTCATGTGTCATTACAATGCATTGCACGCAAAACTTTGTTAAATACTGAATAAATCCTACTGAACAACCTGTAAAAATTTCATCGTCATAACTTGTGTAGTTTCCAAGAAAAATGTAGCTTTAACTAGGTAAGGTAAAAAGATACAACCTTCCGGGTAACCCGAAAATTAAACATAACATTTGAAAAAAAAAATCATTTTAAGTTTTCCATTATTTCAATACTTCCATAACTATGATTTGGGATTCGTCATTTTTGTCATACCCGACTTCAGCGCCTACAAATTAGCGAAAGTTATACGTTTTCAACCAATGGTAGAGGAGAAATGTTCTCATTAGTTCCTTAGTGTTTCTTATATAGAGGTGAAGAAATACATTTTATAATACTGCAATTTTAAGAGCGTAGGCTTCCGCGGTCGGAGTCAGTATTTAATTGGCTGTTCGTTTGACAAAGGCAATTCAAGGACGTCCATGGCAAAGGGGCCGACGTTTCGGTCGCCATTCTGCGACCTTCCTGGGCATTTTCTCAAAAAGAATTAGACGCTGGAAGCAGTCAGCCCAGTGATTCCAATGAGCTTTACAGGCGAACTCAACCCTATCTATTGGTGACATTAAGAATTACATGATAATTTTGGAAAGATAAGATTGGACGCGCGCACTTTAAACTGTTTTTACTTGGAAAACTTGTAAATGGTTCTAAATTACTAGTCAAGAGATGTAAGATATTCTTGGAAATGAGGGGAAGCAATGCTTCCCTTGCTTCCATGGAATAAACGCCCCTGAAACATACAAGTGTCGTGGTGGCAGATCCCGCAGTGCGTGAAGTTCATGACAGAATAGAAGAATAATTGCGAGACATTGAGTTAGTAGCTTGGCGATGCTTTAAGAGATTATTCATTAATACATAATTCATGCGTTTCTCTAAACAAAGAAAAAAGACAAATAAAAGGTTGATCATAGAATGGTTAGAAAGCTACAAAAATATGAAGTGTAGAATGTCTCTCAAAATTCATTTTCTTCACTTTCATCTTCAATTCTCCCGCTGGATTCGGGTGATATTAGTGACGAACATGGTGAACAGTTTCATCAAGATATTCCTTCAGTGAAGAAGAGATATTACTCGGGCAACTTTTCTTGAACGATGGATTGACGATTTCGGGTGGACGGGTTCTACATTAATAGTTATTGATTTAATTGTACATTGAGCCTCTTACGTATTTGCGAGTTGCACAAGTGAAAGTGAAACATATTATGAATGATTTACGGGATATGCAGAAACTAAGACAGGATGGCATTTTTTTAAGGAAGTGAGTTTTCATAGTAGAGAAATGTCCTTTGGGGGTGATTGAAAAGAATAGATTATTTAAATTTGATGAGAGGTAAGATCGCAAGAGAAGGTAAACCAGAACGTAAAAGAGCAACTGAGAAATGGAAGGGCTTAAATGTGTGTCAGTTGTTTTTAACGTGTTGAACTAATTACTCAGGGCAACTTTTCTTGAACGATGGATTGACGATTTCGGGTGAAGTGGGGATATTAGTTACAAAGTCGGCCACTAGAGTATTTTAAGTAATGCCAACGTGTGTGAAATGAAAGTCAAACTGCATCTTGTACTTAACTTTTTTCGGGAGTTTTAGGTGACTCCCTTGAATGACCCTGGACCTTGACTCAGTCCATTTTTTCCTCGATATTGACAATAAACCTGAACAGGGGTTCTGCACTAAATGAAAGACAACTGGCTTTGATAGCTTCTGTTTCGCGCACAACGAAGTTTTAATGCTTGAAAGGTTTTGTCATCAGGCCCGCTTGCGAGCTTTTGCCTTCAACTGTTTATTGCACAAGGAGGGGATCGAGGTCATCGTTCAGAAAAAGTTGCGCGAGTAATACCAAGGACGTAAGAATTCTTCAATGATTATTGATGGTATCTTATCAGAGAATAAACAGGAATACAAGAGTAAGCGACAAGGCGCAAAAGCATTTTTAATCAAAGCAATAGATATATCTCCTTACATTTTAAATTTATTCTTACTTGATATGAAGAATGTTCATAAAGTTGTATAGTAATATAACCGGAGTGACAATGCGGAAATTAATGTAGTAGGCTTTTGTTTATTTCAAATAGTAAATACATTCATATCTTTTGAACCCTGCCTGATAGAAACTTTTTATAATGATATTCGAAATACGCGTGGTCGTTTCCTTTGAAATCACCTACTTTTATTCCGGAAGAACGAAAAACAATTGTTTTTAATTCCCTAGTAATAGGAAACTTCAACTTCAATGTTTAAAATACATCATGCATTCAAATAGATGCAATGTTAATAAATAATATGACATCTTTGTTGTATCAAACTGATTTCACCACAAACAATAACACAGAAATGTATGTCATTTTTGCTAACACGAAATTTATTGCTGGTCTTTATGACAGTTATTTTTCAGATCATAAACCTATGTTCTGTCAAATTATGTCAATATTCGTCAAAATCAATATTCGCGATGCTCATTTGAAAGACAACACAAAATGTCGTAGATTTGCACAAAATCAGCCTCCTAGGGCAATCTGTTGCAGAGATTCAACGAGTGTGAATTATCGTGTTTTATGTTTTTCCAACTTCTATTGTACGTATCAGGCTGAAACAAATTACAGTGTCGGAAACAAAAAGATGTATTTGATGGTATTTTAGTCAACCAATTTTGACGCCAAATTCAAATAGAAAAGAAATTTAAATTGAGCTTCGACATGATATCGTTGATGTAGTGTGTCAGTTTTTCTCCCTATAATGTGTCGTTTTATAACATATTTGTTTTCAGATTTTTAAACAATGTCGACGACAGCGAAAAGCCATTAAAACAAAATGTATCTGTTTAAAAAATTTTTGTATGGTATTGAAAAAAATGTTTTGTAATAACATGTTTCATCAATGTTTAAACATGTTATATTTAAATCATTGAAAATCTCAGTTATCAGCATGATTTTCAACTTTTTGTTGACAAATATTTGTTTTTTATGTAGAAAGTATTTATATTATCGAAATAAAATAATCAAACCCCTTTTGTTTTTATATTTATGTATTGTTTCCAAGTCGTAAATCAAATTAATCTGTTTTAAATATATGAATCATTCATGTTCATGATTTAAATCAAATTACTGAGTTGCAGATTTATTAATCATAGACAATTAATTATTGTCATTGTCTTCTTCAATATCTGGGGTCACGCGTTCGTTTATAAACAGTCTACTCAAAATTCCTGAGTAGCTACTGGTTTAACTATTTCCGCCTAGTATCGAGCATGTGCCAAATATTAAATGATCGGAGGTATGTGGCAGTAGCATTCCAGCGTGGGACTTACGTTCGCGTCTTCACAATAATATCGTTTCACTCCCGATATTCCCTTGGTGAAAAGAGAGGGGTGGGCGCTTCGGGTGCACCGATTTTTGCTCGCTCTGTGCAGTACCAGTTTGCGTCACGAGACACGTGACCGCATCACGTGCTCTTCGGTTCAAAAGCGAAACCAGTTGGCCACACTGTTGCATGGAAAGTAAGAATTGTTGAAAAACATTTGAAAATAGCATAAAGTGAAAATTTTCAACGGTGACAAACTAAAAATTACACTATGAAGGTGTAAATAAAAAAGATGCAATAATTAAAAACAGTGCTTCGTGCAGTGTTTCCTTTTGTTGTCGGTTCGTTTTCGGTTCGCTCCGCGTGTACCGACAAGGCCTGATTCGCGTAGATGGCCCGTCGTATTGGCGTGTTTACGTGAGTGACGGGTCCACTGCAAACGATTTCGTTCATTTAGTTCCGAGAGCGAACGCCGAGCGCGCATGCGGAGTTCAGTCGCTTGCCGTCTGACAGCGCTGCAGAGCGGCGGCGCGCCCGGCGTGCTGTCAGGCCCGGGAGACCGGCAGTTGGCGGGAGGCGCGCGGTGGAATTAGTGGGAGTGCGTTGTGAGCTGTGCTGTGCGGTGTTGTGCTGTGCTGTGTCGTGTCGCGAGGAAGTGTTCGGCTGCGCGTGGTTCCTGTCAAGAGAGTGAATGATGCCCGCGGTTGAAGGCTGCGAGCGTTGACACCTCTTCAGGAACTCGACTCCCCCCTCCCCAGCGGACTACGCAAGGTGAGAAAAAATACAATGATAAAATTGTTAGACAAGAGTTATTCAATAATTCAAAATGTATTTACGACCGGATATATTGACAGCATATAACTGCCTGTACGTCTTCCCAATTCTCTATAAACATGCTCTTAATTCATAAATAATTTCATTATTAAGTCTTCTTTTCTCACGCATGATGAAAATAAATTGGTTAAAGTAGGGTACACGGTACACCCTCAGAGAAGAGTGGAAGCAGAGGGGAAGGGGGGAGGGTCTCCTTAAGTCCTCCCTCATGTTACCGGACGCGCTATAATAGAAATTAATCAAACTTGCAGAGAGGCGATTTTCATGTCTTGCCTTTGTCTTTCCTTTGCTTTTCATTGTAATGCCAATTTACTTTCAAAGGCAAGTTTTCTCGCTTCGCTCGCCCGAATCCAAGTCACGACGAGGCTCGGGCCTCCGGCCCTCGCGTCGACTATAAACATCCTTGAGTCTATCCACCTCATGATTACCAATTCACTGTTACAAAAAAGCAAATTTCAAGAAAGCCTCCAGAATTCAATCTGCGCTGTTGACGCCGGAGCTACGCGAAGTGTCGGTTTAATAAGACTTCCGTAAGTTGTACCGTATTCTAGACTTCAGCTCATCAATTTTGACCCATTCAATTTACGGGTTACTTTACCTGTTATTTTATAAATTAGTTTCTTATGGCCTTCCTTTGCTTTAGCTTTGAACGATAAAGCAAACATTTTCTATGGGATTGATATCAGGGCTATTTGCATCCCAAGGGTGCACTGACATGTCTCAAAAATATTTTTTTCTTTCATGTTGTGTAATGGAACGAAGTCATTCGTTAGTTCATGGACTTTTTTCCAAATTACTCGCTTATTATTATACTTTTTTAATTTAATTAATTCTGTAAAAACTCTAGGAATTTACCCTGCCTCATTATACCAATATGTTTACATTTCCAGCACCATGAACAGACATTACACTTCAGATCATTTAGTAATATGTCTCTTAGGGAATTATAATTCATTAAGTCAAAGAATAAATGTTTGCTTAAATAATTTGGCACCTTTGCTGTCTGAGGGGAAACAAGTTCTCCTGAGAGGTCCGTGTCAGCAGTCACTGAGGGTACTTAGTTTAAATGTACAGCCGACTTCGGTTGTAGTGAACTTCGGGATCTTGAAACATGAAATTGTTTGTTCATTTTGTATTATTAATTTCTCTAAATCCTTCGTCAGAGTTCTTCATTATGCATTGACCACTGTCTCTAAGTACCGCATTAAAGTCTTAACACACTTCACTGACTCTTGAAGCTGCTGGACCGCCATATATATCTTCATCACTCATTAGGTAGGTCCCCACTTCCTGTCCGCTTCCTCCACCTTAGAGGAGACTTCTACAACGATGACTTTGGTCGATGAATACATTGTTTTCAAGCATCTTAAAGCAATTTGTGGCGCAGAGGCAATATATTTCTTTCCATGAAGAAATTAATTTCCATAACACATTTTCAAAGTTCACTATGACCGAGGTTAAGAGTTCACTCTAACCAAACCTTAGTTGTGCATCTCTGTAATGCAAGAGAAACGGGACAAGAGACTTCAGTTCACTACTGCCGAGAGTTCACTATATCAGAGTTCACTACAACCGGGGTCGATTGCACTTGCAGTCCACCAGTGTTAGGATCCTCGCGTTAATGTTAAAAACCTTCTGAGACATGCCTCACCTCGGGGAGAACACGACTCAAACTAGATGTGGTATATGAGCACATTCGTTCTTTGATTTTTCATTGAATTTTGCCAATTTCGAAACTTTTAGCGAGATTTACCATTTTTGAATATTGAACCTGTGCCGTTTTTATAACCGTACTTCACTTTATTAAAGAAAACATTAAAGAAACAATTATCATTGTGATTGGACATTTTTTTAATTGTCTATTTCCAATAAAATTTCCTGAAAATTACTCCTCCGCTATTTTGAAAAAAAAAATGTTTCATACTTTTCACTCATCAACAAGGTATAATTTTGATAGGAAGATCCTTTAAGACACATCTTTATCTTCTAAACTGTAGTTGCAGGAAGATAACGAAAATGTTTTAAACTTCTTCAATTTTCAGAAAATTCAGATTTTTCCGAAAAATGAGCCGCCGCCACCACCACTTTGAACCACCACCCAATTAAATATAAACGTATTGACAAATTGAACGTAAACGTATTGACAAATTGAACGTAAACGTATTGACAAATTGAACGTAAACGTATTGACAAATTGAACGTAAACGTATTGACAAATTTAACGTATTTTATTAAGGAACATTTTTTATCGTTATTATTTTAGTTGTAGAAAGAGGCTGAAAAAAGTTTGAACTGTTGCAGTTTTCAAAAATTCAGATTTCAACGAAAATGCTACCTACGCCATTTCTTTAAGCCACTTTTGCCCCATCAAAAGAACAAAAAATGGAGCCATGCTTGAGAAAATTTTGAAAATACTTCTTGTAAAAGCAATCCAGAAATTAAAATATACTTTTCAAATTCAAGGGATCGCGTCATCAATAAATGAGGAATATCTATGGGGAGGAGTATGAGGAATATCAATTTTAGTGCACATTCAACTTGCAGTTTAGCGGCTAGAGTTCTTCACAGACAGACCTATGAATGGACGGATATTTTGCTGTCAGTCAATTTTTCTGTACTAGAACTGACTAATCGTGAATTCGGCGTGCTACAAAAATTAATCCACTGCCTATAGGAACACGATTTATTAATGTTTTCGTCACCAAATCCCAGCAATTAGTTTTTCTGACGAAAGATCGTGGTTTTTCCCTGCAACATTGCAATATTTTCTCTATATTGTGTATGAATTAGTCGGGAAAGACAAAATAAAAAAAAACTGTATACACCAATATTAAAAATAAACTGATAGATCCTACATAATACAAAGTAGTGGTGCAAAAACAGCACGTACTTTCTAAGCCGTACTTTCACGCAAAATTACGCGTAAAGTACTAAGAGTTTCGAAAAATTGTACAAGACATTATTTCAAAATCTATCTTTTAAAAAACTGATTCCATTAAGGTAAAAGCCTGCATATTTAATATTTGAGTTGTAGGAAGACTCCGACAAATTTTAAAACTATTGCAATTTTCGAAAAATCGGGGTTTTCAACCAACATGAGAACTGCACCATTCTCTAAACGTCCTTCATATTAACCAAGAACAAAATTTAATCAAAAACTATGGAGTCATTTTTTTAAAATTTGGAATACGTCCAAGGGGCTTTATGTAAAGTACCCCTGGGCCGCGACATCCGCCACATCAATTTTGGAGAAAATCGGCTTTGCGGTTTAGCGTTGTTCAGTCGGACACACTGAAAGACGTTTTGCCGTCATTCGATATTTCGGTATAAAGGACATGCAAAACAGATTCTGGTTACACCACGTGTTAGAGAATATTTTTCTAAATTTAGCAATTGGGTTTATCCACTTTTTGGTTGCCAGGACTCTGTAGAAAGAGTTTTTGTTTTTCTGTAGAAAATTCGCCTTTTTGCGCGCTGCATTATATAACTTTCTCTCTACTCCGAAGCAAGAAGTAAAATCGAACAAAAATAAAATAAAAACACAACTATGCACACTATACAAATTAGATAAAATATGTCCATCCCTACTACGTACTCATCACTTCACTTCACTTCATTTCACTTCACGTCCCTTCTTTACTTGGTAATAATTAATTACTGTGATGAAACGTAGGTTCCGCTTTAGTTAAAAAAGAGTATTCAAAGAAACAATAATATGAATATTGAAGAAAAAATAATACAATTGCAAATTAAGAAACACAAATAAAATAGAATCACAAATAGACAAGTATAAAATGTAGATAAAAAGATCCGATATCTCCACTTCAGCGCATATCCCTTCCAGTAAGCAGTAAGTTGTACTTCAACGGTGAGTACGTGCATCCCTCTTTGCCGGCAAATTTTTGTCCTTCACTTCTTGTCACCGAAAACCACTGTGAAACCCCGGAACGCATAGGGTGTGCATCTGGGAACAGTCGCTAGTATCTCTACGGGCAAGTCGTTCCAGTCAGCAACGTTCTTTGCTTTATGCGTTTTGTTTTGTGTGCAACATCACCCACTTTTTTGATATTTAAGGTCGCATCAACTTCGCCATTAGCGACCAGTATTTCTTGTAACGGTAAGGTAATTATGAGGCTGACACGATATGATAAGAGGGTGAAAGGACGAACACAATATAACCATGCCCGAGGTGGGACTCGAACCCGCGATCCTTCGGTCCTAGATCGCTACGGCACTATTGCCTTAGCGATCTCGGCCATCCAGACCGGCTCCCTCTACTTTTGAAGCGCGGCATTTCGACTGTCCGTGGTGGTTGCTTTGTGCAAGCCCTGAAGAGGGCACACAGTACTCGTCCCTTTTGAAGTGCAACTAATGAATCCCAATTGGCTTTTGCCCCCTTGTTTTTATTCGTGAATTTAACCACTTTTTTCTGCACTCGATTCAACTCTCTAATCTGAGCTTCTCTTTGACAATCCCAGCAGCCTACACAGTTGGATGAACCAAAGATGTGTAAGCCTGCATTTTCGTGTCGCAGTTAGCTCTCCGTAACATGTGCCTAACCAAATGAGCTCAATATTTCTGTGTGCGTGATTACTTGATCGGCACGAATCGTTTCGAATTAATGGTAGGAAATGGTGTAGAGTTTGGAATAATTAAAGAAATAGATTTGGAGCTTGGTTTTGTCGTAGTTTATTTTGTCAGAAAGCTTTTTCGGTGGCATTGCGGCCACCTTCAATACTACAAAAATAACAATTTATGCAAAGTGCAAATAAAATTTTACCAATTACAGATTATTATTATATTATTTTTTATTAAGTTTAAACATTTCGTATGATAATTTTAGGAATCTTACCAGTATTCCATTGTTGGACCAACTAAAGATGTGTAAGCCTGCATTTTCGTGTTTCAGTTAGCTTTCCGTAACATACGCATAACAAAATGAAGGGCTTTTCAAATCTTCAGTGGAGTATATCTTACGTGATCAGCCCAGCTGAGGTCGCCTCAAAATTAGTGCATCTAGATATTTACAACCCTGTGTTTCGGATTTTTTACCCTTGTATAGTGGAGTGTTTTCTGTGCTCCTGTAACCTTGTAAAATTAAATTTTCGCTCTTATCTGAACGAATTATCATTCCGTTTGCTTGGGACCATTTCATCAATTCAATATATTTTTTTACCTCACCAATGTCGGATTTGTCT